GGGTCGTTTCGGTCTGTTTTTTCGGTTTCGACCGAACTGTGCTTAGGCCTAGTGCCAACCTAGTTGAGATGTACTTATCTATAATATTGATGCGGCAAATTCCAAAATAAATTTGTAATTATTGGTGATTATTAATAAAGAATTTATATTTATCATTTTAATTTCTATAATTTTTTCTATTTGTAAATTATATAATTACAAGTGATTAATAATATGATTGATTTTTATCAAAATTTCGCTTAATTTATTGTTATTTACTCTTGAAAAGTTTTTAACAAAAATAAAATAAAATAAAATTTTAAGCAAAAAAAAAGAAAAGAAAAAGACCGGACTCGGGTCCGGGTCACAGGTTTTGCCTCGCCCGGGCCGGGCCAACCCGGTTGGACAGGCCTACGGATACAGTTCGTATATGATGCTTATCATATCCATATCCGCTTACCCATCTCAGATACGTATACAGATACAAATATACATCGGTAAGGAAATTTTATATCCATATTCGCTAAAATCGGATATGGTTACACGTATAGATGTGGATATATTAGCCGATATGCATGTGGATATAAAACGGATGAGAAAACTATATAGTATTGAGAAAAACATAGTTCATGCGATACAAAAGAGGTCGTTAATATGTTCATTATAACCAAATAATATTAGACATCTTGATCATTAAAATTAGCTAGAAATCTGTAATTTAAGAATCGAAACTATCGTAAGAGTACGACTAATATGTATTCGGATATTTTGGATACAGATACAGATATTTTACTACAAAACCATATCTTATTGGTCATAGATTTGAGTAACCATATCTGTATCCTAATAGATACGATTACAAATATTTTCTCGAATACGGACACGGTATAGCACCCCTACTTCACAATGTCGAAACGGGGGCATCGAAATTCCATAACAATTCCATTTCATAACTCTCCTCATTAATTCTATTTATTCAACTATAGTTACAGCGAATAAAAAATCCCACCAAATCTCCTTTTTCCTAACAAAAGAGGGGGAAAAAAGGCAATAATACGGGTCCGCACGTCGAGTCAAAAAGTGCCAACCCCTATGTTTGTCTTCAGAAACCCATTCTTTGTAAGTGGGTGAAAATTTGGGTGCATCGTTCATTTATCCAGCTGGCAAGACAAATACCGAAACTACTCTCATACCATACAAAACTTCCCGCATAATCATGGATACAAGAGCGTAATTATACCCTATAAGAGGAGGTTGTTTTAGGAATTAGACAAGAGCGTGAAACCCCATAAAATGAAACAGGGTAGGGTTTTTTATGCCCTCGATGCCGCGTTTTCCGACACCCGCCTGTCTTTCTTCCCGCCTTGTTTCTCTCTCCTAAATCCCCCCTTCCCTTCAAGAGAAAAGGGGTTCTTTTTAGAGAGAGAAAGCTCAATCCAACTCCATCTCAATCCAACTCTATCCTTTTTAGGGCGAGAGAAAGCTAGAGAGAGAGGGAGAGAGGTCGAGAAATCTTACGTCTCTGGTTCGAAGTCGGAGAGCTTGACTGGGTTGCAGACGGCGAAAAAAGTTGTCATCTTTTTGCTGCTGTTTCTGGTGAGTTTTTGTGTTCAATCTCTCTTCTTTTTGAGGAAAAAAGGGTCTTTTTTTTTGCGTTAATCTGCGTTAGTTTCTGATTGGTGATTTTCTTAATGATTTTCGTTAATCTGCGTTATTTTTTGTATTTTAATGATTTTCTTAATGATTATGACATGATGATTGATGATGGTCGGATATGTGATAGTTTATTGTAATTTTTTTAAAAAGTTTTTTTTGAGGACAATAATAATATCTCTGTCCAAGACTTTTTTAACGGTTGAAAAACACGGTTACTAATTAACATGGGGGAGAAGATTAATTTGTTCTTTTAGGTAATCATTAGGGTTTAATAGTATTTTTAGGGTTTTTAGGGATGTGATGATACACCAGAGATTGTGCTGGATGTGGGCACGTGATACTGACCGTCTCCTTAGAATTTGACATTAGAAATTTGGCAAGGGGTGTTGTGGGCCCCATCATGGAGATTTGTGGTTTGTCTCTGTAGACCTAAATGGTAGATGACAAGATGGAAATTTTCTTTTTCTTGTAGTAAATTTTAATTAGTTAAAATCAATGATTCTGTCAAAGAAATTAATTGATTTGTATAGGGTTGGATTCAGGTTCACATTTGGGTTGACTGGCTTGTTGTCTAGATTCGTGGTCTGTAATCCTTTTTTTGGAACGTTTCTTAATGCTTTTATGAAACTTCAAGTTAGCTCGACATGGGCTCCTGATTTTTATTTCAAAGAGAAAAGGGCCAGGATTTGGATGGTGAACCCATTTCTGGCAGTTTTCCGACGAAATGCCAGAATCGGAAAATTCGTATTCATGTTTTGACTGGGCATATCATGAGCCTAAACTGGTATGGATTGGTCAAATTAACCAGTCTAACATGACTAAATAGAATTTGAGTTTGATAGAGAGAGCCCTTGTCAGTAGAACAATAACAATCACTGGAAAGAAATTTCTTACCGCCTAACTTGGACAAGTAGCCTATGTTATATAATAAATTCTTGCTGATTCTGCAGAGACACAACACAAAAATAAAAAATATTTGACAGTTTATTCGGGCATTCATTAGCAAGGATAACACTTGCATAGATTATTTCTTCTTGATCCCATTTGACAGTTTGGGAGGTAATATTTGGACATTCATTAGCAAGGAGAACACATGCATAGATTGTTTTTTGCTATAAAGACCAGGAGCAGTTATTCATCTAATACTGGAAGGAATATTTCTGATTATTTAAAAAAAGATACACAACCAGTATATGCCTCTGCTTGCCTAGGAGGGTGCCTCCTGATCAACATTAACAAGTTACAACATTTGTGCTGTAGACTTAATACCAACCACTTGTCTTAGTATTATCGACAATGGTGCCTCTTCATATTTTGTCTTTTCTTCTTCCTATTTCACCAATGCGGCTTGTTTGTCTCATAGACCGTTATGGTTCAAGATTGCGTCCTTAATCCTTAATGTCCTGCACATACATTTCATTTGCTCTATGGATAAGTATTGAACCATTGATATTTTTCTATTCTTGGAGCGTTTAGAAGAACTTGCTGTCTTGCTTCTTTGGTTTCCACAAGAAACATAGAAAAGATGAAAAGAAAACGACTTTCTTTATGCCACCTAAGCTTTCATAGATTTAGAAAGGCCCTGTTGAAGCCCTTAGATAAGAAGAACATGTGGTCGAGGTAAAAAGGACATGGCAATCTTTTCATGAAATAAAACTTAAAAACTATTAAATGATTGCAGATGAAATTGGGAGCAAAGTTGATAAGGTAAAAGAGGTTATAACATTTGAGGGCTATATCGTGTTGGATTTTCATGTGTTATTATGAGGGCTTATATTGTGCTGGATTTTCATGTGTTATTATATAATATCATATCATAAATTCATAGATAATTAATGGTTAACGTTTGGCCCAAAACCTACTAGCTTATGATTTTGAATGAAAGTGCAGTTGGCCTATATATGTTATCAGAGTTCCCAAGAGGGAACAAATTTTTCCAACATCTAAACCATCAAAAATATTTGTGAAAGAAAAAAAAAGTTTTTGTTGTAAATCATTAGGAATCTTTTTGCTTCATTTCATATTGATTGCAAGTTCGCAACACTACACAAGTTAAGGGAGCAAACGATAGAAAATGGTTTAAAAAATGCGCATTTTACTTTTCTTCTGTACATCTCTTTGCACGATCTCAAAATTCTTATGACTTTTCCTGGCTCTTGAGAATAGCTTTCCATTTCATAGAATTGTACTTCACATATTTAAACATTATGGATTATGACATCTGGAAAGTAGTTCTTGAAGGTGAACTAGTGTAATCATTATTTCTTTTATTTTTTTGGATCAGAGTGTAATCATTATTTCTAGTTCCTCCATGTTGAAGTGGGAATGCTTACAGAAGGAGAAGGTGACGTGCAAGATAATTAGCAGAACTATGATTTTCTTTTCTTTTTCATTTTGTTAAAAAAATTAATAAGTTGTATGATAATTATTTAAGTCCTATAGACTTTGTAATGTTTGTTCTTTATAAAGTGGAGAATGATGCCTGTAACATTACCATCCATCTTTAGATCTGATAAGGACTCATCCCCACTTTATTAGATTCTGTTGTGGGTCATAAGAGTAAAGAGGAGCCTATGAGAACTGATGGCAGGTGGAGACTTACTTTTCTTTCATACTCATTTGGGTCTTTATAGGCATACTAGGATATGATAGTTTCAACAGAGAGGGGGTACCCCTCTTTGCTTCCCTCTTTCTTTACTGTTGGCAGTGGGGCCAAGGAAAGCAGGAGTCAGGTCCCTTTTGCTTCAGCCTTCATTGTCAAGTATGTATATAGAATGTGATTACTAAGACAAACGGGTCATTCCAAGTTTAGGCACAATAAAATAAAGTTGTCACTGCTATATAGTCCAATTCTTTTGGCATCAGTTGTTTTCTATTTGTCTTTGCTATATAGATCTCACTAGTGGAATCCTGGGCATGGAAGCCTGCAGTTTGTGGGTTTATGTTAAGACAATGATGTGATAATCTCGGAAGATTAGATTTGTTGACATTCTTGGCTAATCTTTAAAATGTATGGATATGAATATTTCCATGTAAATAGAAAATGGTTACAAGTGTTCGTCTATGTTTGTACTTTTATGCACTTCTAGCTATCTATTGCCTCATAAAAGGTAAAATTCTCATAATGCCCATTTAAGGGCCTCAGACCCCCTCATTATATTTGAATCTGTAGCAAAAAATATGATTGGGCTCGAAGTAAAGAAGGGGCAAAAGGGATTTAATTGAGATGAGGTTATATTTGCCAACCTTGGTATTCTACCTGAATCAAATTCATCTCAGAGGTGGCTAAAATATAGGTGGAATATGATAGATGTACAGCCAATTGATTCTAGACCTGTGTAAATTTATTAGTATAATATCACTTACTAAGATGGGGAACTATTGTACATTAAATAGAAGAGATGCATAAGGTCCCAAGTATATTACTGACAAAATTAAAATTGGACAAAAAAATGAAATTATGTGAAACTGCAATCTGAGGTAGACTCTATGGTAGATGACTCACATGTCCCCATTCTCATCTGGAAAGTATATAATGGTCAAAAACATGTGATGTAGGGCCACACAGAGGAGTTTGAGGTATGGGTTTTATATCCTTCATTTCAGCATCTTTTCTGTACGCCATTTCAGACTTTGGCCCTACCTCCAATCTTTCCCGCCCTTTAACCTGAACTTTCCTATTATTTTTTCTAAAAAGCAATAAAGAATCAGATCCTCCCTTTCTTGGACGACATCAAATTCCTCTGCCAGATAGAGAGCTTGCTCTCACTCATTCACTCTTCTGCTAACCTTCAATTCCTGTTTTGTCTACCTCCTTTAATTTCTACTCTCCGTTGTCACAGAGATCCATAAATGGATTCGGTCTCACCGGCAACATCTAATATCGTATCCATAGCAAAGATCTTCACCAAGATTATCCGCTTCCGTCGCAAAACCACCAGCAACACCACTGCAGATTTCGGTCCTGACCAAGATCATGAAATCCACAAGCTCAAGCCTTCAAAAAGCATCGACGACTTCCCCCAAGCTATCCCCATATTTGAGGACGAGAAGGTCAAGAAGGAGGAGAACTGCCACAATAAAGAATCCATGGAATCACTTCTTGCAAATATATTCACCAGCATCTCGGCCATCAAAGCCTCGTATGCTCAGCTTCAAGTCGCCCAATCTCCCTACGATCCCGAGACGATCCAATCGTCTGATCAGTGTGTGGTCACTGAACTCAAGCATCTATCTGAGCTTAAACGCGCCTATTTCAAGAACCAGTTCGGCCCTCCACCACCACCACCATTGGCCGCTCAAGTCCAGGAGCAGCGAAACCTCATCAGAACCTACAAAATCACTAGCAACAAGCTCGAGTCAGAGATCCGATGCAAAGGTTCAGAGATCACTGCTCTCCAAGCTCAGTTACTGGAATCTGATCGCCAGAACCGAGCTTTAGAATCCAGACTTCATCCTGGCAACCCGCTATCTTCTCTGGACGGCCTCCATCTCTCTGAGCTAGATCCATCTCATTTTCTTGCCATGGTTCGCCATACTGTAAGATCAATCCGGTCATTTGTCAAGCTGATGGTTGGTGAGATGGAGTCTGCTGGTTGGGATCTTGATTCTGCTGCAAGTTCCATTCAATCAGATGTCTGCAATAAGCCTGGGCACAGAATATTTGCGTTTGAATCCTTCATTTGTCAGCGACTGTTCTCTGATTTCCATAATCGAAATTTTGGCTTGTCGCTTTTGGAAGAAAGGGCAACATGGGAGTCTCGGCAGTTCTTTGATGAGTTCACTGAGCTGAAATCAGCGAAAATGAAGCATTTTCTTCAGACTCAGAAAGGAAGATCATCTGGGTTCGGTAAATTCTGCAGGACAAAGTATTTAACCCTTGTGCACCCAAAGATGGAGGCTTCGTTCTTCGGCGATCTCGATCAGAGGGGGCTCGTAAGCTCAGGCCGAGGGTTTCCTCAGTCTGATTTCTTTGCTGGGTTTGTTGAGGTGGCTAGGAGAGTTTGGCTTCTTCATTGTTTGTTCTTCTCATTTGGGAGAGAAATGGAGGGTTCAATCTTTCAAGTAAAGAGAGGCTGGAGGTTTTCGGAGGTTTACATGGAGAGTGTGATGGAAGTGGATGCCGGTGACAGGCCGCCAGTGGTAGGATTTACGGTGATGCCGGGGTTTAGGGTTGGGAGGACAGTGATTCAATGCAAAGTATATATCTCAGGTCTGACGGAAAATGGGCGTTCATGATTCATTGCTATCGGTGTTACGAATGAATCCGACGGTCAGGATGCCTGTTAATTGGACCGGACGGCCGAGAGAGCATGTGAACCTATTAATCACAAGAAACTATCAAGTAAACTATCAAGTGGTTCTTGTCTACTGAAAGATGGGGTACCGAGCGTTGTCTGTCGTTTGATCAGTGCAAAATACTGATCTAATTTTTGTTCTTGGTATTTCGACTATCCTGATGGTATGAATCAGTGTAACCGTCTGTGTAGTGTTCGAGATGTCAGCAAGTGGGAGTTGGCTAACAGGTCGAGATTGAGATTTTTGCGAGAGGAAGAGGTCTCCTCTTGTGAAAGAAAAATCTTATACCGAATTTTGTTCATGCATGCCTCACTATGCTCTCTATGATTAGTTAATCATGTTGTAACATAAGTTATTATTATATGTAACAATCTTGTAATGGTTGGTGTAATAATGAGCAATGGGTAGTATTATATGGATGCATGTTGGGGGGTATTGGAAGCTTCAGATGTGCTTTGTTTTGAGATTTAGATGCAAATGAGTAATTTTTTTAATGGAGGTTGGTGATGGAGAAAAACTAAAGTAGGGAGGATTAGCTGAGGGGAAGCTTAGCGCTTTAGGTGTTGCCGGTTTTATTGTAGGTGTTATGGTTCCTAAACTATAATATTTTTTATCATAGGTGTTGTCGGTGGTCGATAAATCTTTTGGATACGGTGGTTTTCCTGGTTTTGTTTTTGAAAAAAAAGACGTTATGGTGTTTTGTTTTGTTTTTTCCTTAAAAGTGTTTTCAAAACACCACGTTGAGTGTTTTTGTTCAACATTAATTTGATCTATTATAACATTAATATTAAACATATTGTTAATATATTATGTATTAATTATAACAAAATATATTATAAATTAAATATTATAATATTTCGATTATATTAATAATATTATTATAAGTATTAATATAATATAATATAATATTATATTATACTTTAATTAGTTTATATTATTTTATAATTATTTATTATATTATAATTTATTACATTTTATTTTCAAATAAATTATATATTAATTATTTTGATATATCAATTAGTTATTGTTATATATTATATTAATATTTTTAAAAAATAATATTTTATTATTAATATAATATTATACTATTATTAATAGAATATAATATATTAATAATGCTTAATATTATTTTATTACTACTACATTATTAATAAATTCAAATGTTTATAAATATTTTAATATTATATAATATATTATAGTTTCTAATATATTAGAGTTTATTAATAATTTTTTTAATAATTAATGATATAATCAATATTATTATATTATAAATATATTATTTTTGCATTAACATTTGTTAGCAGTAAATTATTTTAGCTATTAAATGTAATATAATATAATATTGTATAATGTATTATAAAATTATATTATACTTTAATGAGTTATATTATATTATAATAATTATTATATTATAATTATTACATATTATTATTAATTAATTTTATATTTAATTATTTTGGCATATTAATTTGTTATTGTTTTATATTATATTAATATTTTTGTAATAATGTTATTTTATTATTAATATAATATTATACTATTATTAATATAATATAATATTAGTAATAATGTTAATATTATGTTATTACTAGTATGTTATTAATAAAGTAATATATTATAATTATTTTAATATTATATTATATATTATAGTTTTTAATATGTTAGACTTTATTAATAATACTATAATAATTTATGATATAAATCAATATTATTATATTATTAATATATTATTTTTACATGATTATATTATTATATAAGATATTTAAATTATTATATATTTATGTTATTTAATAAATATTACTAGATTAATTATACTATAATATAATATAATATAATATAATATAATATAATAAGTATGTTGATAATAATTATATATTACCTATACTTAATATATAATGTTAGATATTATATTAACACCTCATCAAACTTAAAACCAAAACACCAAACTTAAATCACCTAAATGTGTTTTAAAACAAGTGTTGTGTTTTTAGTTTGAGGATGATTTAGCTCAAAAAACACTATGGTTTCCAAACGCATGATGTTTTATTTTTGGCAAAAATAAAACAAGTAAAATATCATGGTATCCAAACACTTACTTTTTTTTGGTCTATAATGTCTTTTCTTATTAGGACGAGCATTACATCCACGCTTTCTTTTCTGTGCTATAATGGTTCTTTTCTTATGGCAACAAGTATTATCCCGTGCTTGTAGGGATTATTTTGATTTCTTTGGTTTCTACGCAATGACGGACGGAGGGGGACCAGAGGTGGCCATGGCCATCCTTGGATTTTTACAAAAGATTAGACTTGTTTTAAATAGGCCTACAAAGCCTAAATCTAATAAACTATATGAGAAATCTATATCCAATAATCCGAACAACTAAAGCTAGATTCTATATATCACATCAAGTCCAATTGTTTGCATTGCCTATCCAAATCCGAAACAAAAACAACCTGTTCCCATTGATTAGCAATTGTTCTTTTCCTTTTTTAGGGGATTTTTATATAATTGCTTGCTAAGGTTTAGTCTGAAAAACATAGATTTGTAGATTGGTTTATTAAAGTTAGAATATTTTCTTTAGATTATCTTATATTGCTTTGTTTCTTCTTTATTATGGTTTGAAATAAATTTCAGTGACATAATTTATAATGGATTGTTAATTTGTCAGGTCTGCAAACTGAGTTTTGTAGTATATAGTTATTGTAAATCCAACTACAATTGATAAAAATTTATCCTATTCCATCGTGTTTTAGTCAGTACACGCTATAATAGTTGTATTTTGGCCCTCCCGCGGAAAAAAATCCTGGGTCCGTCACTGTTTATACGCTCTTTGAAAACATTATGCTATCCTATATAATAAGGGAGGATTGAATATATTTCTTTGTAGACTATGACTACAGATCATCTACTAACTAATACATTAAATGCTTATGATGGAAGGAATACATCTTTTTGCTATGTTATAAGAAGAAAAAAAAATTAAAGTTTTCTTTATCAGTTAAAGTTGATAGTTTGGTTGATGGGGTTTTTCTTAAATGAATTAAAATCTTAAGTTTGAAATTCAAAATTAGATAGCTCAACAATCAACCTCTCTTTTGCAAATCTAATGAAAAATTATGATTTTTAAAAACTAAAAAATGAATGGGATTTCAATGTTCCAAGATTTCAATCTATGCTCATGTCTAGTTCATTTAAGATTGGGACATCAATGAGACTAGGGTTTTACCTCAATCCTCAATTTGGGTAGTACAAAGTTGCACCATTCTCTAGTGTACTCAAGACGGATTGAGATCCTTTACTAATACTAATATTTCCTAATGAGAATTGTGAAGAGTTGGGAGGGGGGCCCAAAAGGATGGGTGGGAAAATGAAAGGCTAGGATCTCCTTATTAGGAGGTATTAGGAGCTTTTCATTAGTGGAGGATCCCAATCCAAGTATTATAATGTGTCAAATTAGGGAGCCATTTGTAATTTTAGAATTTTTTTGGCACTGTTTTAAAAGTTTTGAGGGTTGTTCAAGAGAGTGATTGAAAGTTTTCTTGGGCTTGTTTTTTAAAGTTTCCGTAGTGTTATTTGTGATTTACAACACTTTTAGTGGATTTTTTGTAAATTCTTTGGGAGTGTTTGTAATTTTGAAAACTTTTAAAGGGTTGTTTGTAAAATTTTTAGGGAGTTATTTGTAATATATTAAAATTTTTAGCACGACGTTATTTTAGCAACTTTAATGAAGCTAGTATCAAAATTATCAAATAGCTATTTGTAAATTTTTCAAGAGGATAGCTATAATTTTTTAAACTTTTGTTTGTAAAACTTTAGTGGGCCATTTGTATTTTTAGAACTTTTTAGAGGACTATTCATAATTTTAAAAATTTTAAAAAATTGTTTGCAATTTATGGATTTTAAAGAAAAAACTTATAATTTTAAGAATTTTATGATGCTATTTTTAATTCTCAGATTTCTCAAGGTTTTATTTATAATATTTGAATTTCAAGGTGTTGTTTGTAACTTTTATTGGGCTTTTTGTAATTTTTAGATTTTTTGTAGGGTGTTTGTAATTCATAGACTTTCAAGGGGTCATTTATTGAGGAATTTAAGAGATAAAAACCTGAATTCCCTTATTTTATATTTTGAACAGAATTACAAGGGCTATTTATAAGCCAATACAACCGAACCAACAAAATAAAAAATCCTGATTTCTATCCCATGAAATAAGGAACAAAAAACCAAACTGCTGATTTCCATCCCCTGAAATCAGGAACAGAAAACCACCGCTAAGAGATCAAATCAGGATATTTTTTATTCAAAAAATAAATAAAAACTATCTAAAAATAGGAAGTTAATTATTCCCTAACTTTGAGCGTATTTTCAACACTCCCCCTCAAGCTGGGTTATATATGTTATACAGACCCAACTTGCAACTTATCTCCTCAAAGTTAGTCTTGGGTAATGTTTTGGTGAGAATGTTTGATGTTTGCTGTCGAGTTGGAACGTAGTTCAGTTGCACTACTGCATTGGTGATCTTCTCTGATATGAAGTGTTGATCAATTTCGATATGTTTGGTTCAGTCATGATGTATCGGGTTCTTTGCAATACTGATTGTAGCCTGGTTGTCACACATTATCTGAATTGATGAAGTACAACTTACTCCAAGCTCACCAAGTAACTTTTTTATCCAAATTCCCTCACAGATTTCATGAGCTAATGCTCTAAACGCTGCCTCAGCACTGCTTCTAGAAACCATTGTCTGTTTCTTGCTCCTCCATGTCACTAAGTTCCCCCAAACGTATGAGCAGTATCCTGATGTTGACCTTCTGTCAGTAATATCTCCAGCCCAATCAGCATCTGAAAAAACTTCAATGTCTCGATTATCTAATTTCTTGAATAAAAGACCTCTTCCAGGCGTCATTTTCAGATAACTCAGAATTCTATATACTGCATTCATGTGTTCCTCTGTTGGATTGTGCATGAATTGGTTGACAATACTAACTGAAAAATGAATATCAGGCCGGTATGAGAGAGATAGAGGAGACACCTCACAAGTCTTTGATATCTCCCCCTATCGACAGGTGCACTGTTTTTCTCGGACCTAATTTCCTTGTAAGGATCCATTGGAGTATCTGCTGGTTTAGATCCAAGCATACCGGTTTCCTTCTGGAGATTCAGAGTGTACTTCCTCTGAGACGCAACAATCCCTTTCCGAGATCTTGCTACTTCCATTCCAAATAAGCATCTGAGGTCACCGAGATCCTTGATGTCAAATTCTCTTGCAAGATGATCCTTCAACTTTTGTAGCTCCTCTTCATCATCTCCAGTAAGAATGATATCGTCAACATAAACTAACAGGATTATAGATTTCTTTGCTGGAGATGTTTTTATAAATAGAGTATGATTTGCTTGACATTGAGTGTATCCAAATCTTAAAACTGACTTTGCAAACCTGT